CGCTGCCCCTGCGGCTCTCTGGGCTGGATGATCCTGGCAGAAAACCGCCCGACCTCGAGCACGGGACGAGCAACATCCTAACCTCCACGCTCCCTTTTGCATCCACGCTGGGGGCCCAGACAAGAAGCCTTCCCCGATGTTCCCTGCAGCAAGGCGAGTGGCGTGGGCAACCATTGTGGGAAACCCTCTGTTTTGAGCCTCTTCCAAAATAAAACCCCAGCAGGGAGCCAGGACTGGTGCAATGTAACTACAGGTGCCACGAAGGAATGCTTGCCTCTTGCACGCAGAGGGGACACCCCTACGTGTCCCACTGTTGACAGGGCCTCGCTAACACCTCCACTGGAAAGAAACACCTACAAGCCCGAACGCCCCAGCTCATGGCACGTCCCGACGCCTCACCTACATCACCCCCTTTTATATGATCGCCAAGCGTGAGGGGAGGCAATGCGGCCCCTTCCCGCTGCGAGCCTGGCTGCGGGGTGCCTGCCGGCTCCCTTTATGGGTCGAGGAGGGGTTTCCTCCGTGGCCCTCGGCATCACCCGACCTGTGTCTAAGGACAAGGACCGCAGCTGTTACGTCCAGAGGCACGTATTTCAGGGATATTTCAGGCCATGACATCCATCCCTCCCCCTCCCGCCAAGACACACCAAGACCTATGTCAATAAATTAATACATAAATGCATCTGTCAACCAGCCTCTCCCTCTTTAACTTGCTCTTCATGCCCAAAACCCTGCCACCAGACACCCCTTGCTATCTCACTTAGAGCACCAAAAAATTTGACGGTTAAAGGGAGGAGGTGAGGGAGACAGCCCAGGTACCTCCATACCTGTCCTTGGGTGCCGGGTCAGATCCCCTCCCACACCCCCGAGCATCTGGGCGCTGCTTCTCCTGCCAGGCTTCCTCTACCACAGACGACCATCCCCGCCTGGGAGTCCTAAGACCTGCACAAAGACCCGCACCATCTTTTCCCCTGGGAGAGGCGTATCTTGCTGCCAAGGACAAAACTGGCTGCAACACACTCTCCTCTAAACCACAGGGGCCGGGAGGGCTGGCTCCAGCATTCCCCCGTGGGGCTGGGCTGGCCGGCTGCCTCCTCCTGTGCCATCCTGACCCTGGGATGCAGAAAGCTGCCTGCGCCCGGCCGTCCCATCCCCACGTCCTCACTACCCTGTCCCTCACTTGGGATGTGCCATGAAGCCTTCAAGGCACGGCTCTCCCCTTCCCCGACACCAGTATCTCTCAGCTGCCACATGTCACACCATAAGGCAACGCCTTGCCATCCCTTTTGATCTCTCCCCGTTCTCTGTGCCCATTTCTTGAGCTGCACAAACTCATCATAGGGTCAAGAAAAAAAAACCCAGAAAACAGTTCTGTCATCGCTACTGACCGGCTTCTGATCCTATGAAAACACCTCGGATGCCTTGGGGAAGCAGGCGGCGGTCAAGGCTGAGGACCAAACGCACCGAGGAACCTTCTGCAAATCAGCAAAAAACCAAGACAACGGCCTGGACAAGCCCCTGGCTCGCGTGGGCAGTGAGGTTGTACGTACACCCAAAACGTGTGGTGCCGTCCCGCCGTGCTTTGCCCGTATGCGGCTTTGCGCGGGGGGCCCCGGGTTCCTACACCC